CGGTATCCCAAAGAGGTAATTCATAGACTAACTGACATGATAGCCCTCTATGTTGGCTTTCTTCTTGAGTCACGTCAGTATATAGGTGGTGATAAAGGCTACGTCAACAATACCTCAAATACCATAAAAGCATATTCTGAGCATGCTCAGTGAGCTTATTCTCCCTTGGCAATGTTAACAAATACTAAACCATAGTGAAGTATACATACTTGATGTTTGGTTTCACGGTAAAAACTAAATTTAACTCATGTGGACGAACGATGAGGTGGAGTTCCTGCTTAGCGTCACTTTACAAGAAAACGTTGATTGGGCAGTTATATGAAATATTCAGACATCTCAGTGGTTTAAAGAACAGAAACTCTGAGAAGGTGGGGAACCAGTTTCTTCAAGCAAAAGACATGATAAACATTAATGTCATATCAACCAGACCGTCCGGTCAAAGTTCTGAGGGACAGTTGACACTGGATGCTGAATGGGACACGGTAGAGTGGTGGTGCATTGCTTCAAGCTCTGTGAAGGTTTACTTCAGGTCCGTTTGACTGATCTTTGCTGGTTGTTGTTTACATGAAACCATCTGTTGGTTTCAGAAGTCATTGTTTCCCAAAAACTCTGTTTTATGTGTCCACACAGATACAAAGTATACAGAGTTTTAAAAATGTACACCTTATAAGGTATTTAAAAAAATGTCCATTTCAGTGACTTAAAACTGTGTTTGCATGTGGACGAGAGGCCAAAACATTTGTCCCTTTGTTGAGTCACTGCAGGCTTTTCTTGCCTCACATATCCAAGTTCTCTGGAAATTACAGTCACTGACGTCCCTTTAATTGTGATTTAAAAATCATATCAAGGTAAACGTTTTGCTTATTGCTCTCCATCGGCCAGATTTAGTTTTGCCCGATAAAGAATTCTTCAAAACTTAGTTTAAAAAGGATTAGGAGAGATTTGATTGAGTACTGATATCATGTGGTTTATACTTAAACTTTGTTCCTATCTGTGCCTTTTCCCCTGCTTTTATACAGTCCTGTTGCTGGACCCAAATCTGGGTGAAAGGGTTCCTGATATCACTTATAACGAAACGACAGATCAAGCTCTTCCAACTCCTGTGGAGATCGAGACCACGTTGGTCCGGTATTCATTGTCCAACTCCGATCAAACCAACCTGGAATGGCAGGTCTTTGACGGCTCTCTCCCTGATGGAGCAGTTTCAATCTACAACGGATATGTTGGACGCATCGACTATGTTTGCCAATATAACTGTATTGCCGGCTTCTACAACCCTGGCATGGATTCAACTCCTTCCTGTCACTACCCCTATGGCGATAAAGCTTATCTTGGCTCCCCATTTGAGATCCTGGTGAACAAAAACAACTTTGAGTTTTTGGAATGGAAGAAAGGCTCCTACGGTTCAGTGCCTCAGAATTCAGTCAGGACCTGCTCCAAAGGCATTTATGTTGGGAAGAACATGTATGGTCTTGGAAAGGTGGATGTTAAAAATGAGGCCTTCTTCCTTCCCTGGAAAGGTGCTGAGTATTGGTACAAGGACTGCCAGGTCCTGACCTTTAGCAAAGATATTTACAGTGAGGACATCTCTGATGTCAAGTACAAGACTGATGGAGTTAAAATCATCACTTCTCCTCCAGAGACCATGGGCAAAGCTATCCTCACCAACAAGGACTGCCAGAAATCGTCACAGACAGCTACCCTCTCAAAGAAAATCCAAGAGGAGCAAAGGTGGGACACCAGCTCTTCTACTACAGTGGGAATCAAGACTACCATCACTGCTGGAATCCCCGACATTGCCTCTGTAAGCATTGAGATTGGCGCGGAGACGACCCGCCAGTTAAGTAAGGGGACAACTTATACCGAGTCGAAAGACTTCATTGTTTCTGTTCAGCACGATGTCCCACCAAACCACTCCTGTGTTGTCACTATGTTGGGGTATAAGTACGAGGCAGACATCCCTTACACTGGACGCCTCCACCGCACCTACAGCAACGGGGACACCACATGGACGTCCATCTCTGGGACCTACAAAGGCGTCCAAATAGGAGAAGTAAGGAGTGTGGTGGAACGCTGTGAACCTGTACCCGATCCCACACCCTGTCCTTGAAAGAATGATGGAGGCTCAATGAGATTCAATACCTGACAAATTGTATGTTGGATACCCTTAACAATGTAATCAAGCTAAAACATTAACCTGCTTTTATGTTTTGTATGTCTTAATATATCTTATAAGACAATAAAAATACTTGGCAGTAACTGTTTCTTCTTTTTAATAGTGGAATATGAGTGTGCATGTAAACGTAGTCAGTGACAACATTTAAACTACGTTAGGCTCGTCAGTTTAGTTCATTCATGAATTAAAGTCATGAATCAGGATGATTTTATTTTTTTTTCAGTTATATTGAAGTGAGATGTCATATCTTAAGATTATACATTTGTGGACTACTAATTTCAGAGGTCAAACTACTGGTCTCAAGGTTTCTCCAGCTTCACTGAAACGTCTACATACATACTGCAACGTGATTGGCTTCCAAAGTAGTCACAGTGTCACAAAACAACACTAATACTACCCCATGACATAATGAGACTAAAGCTGAGCTCAGGGAAACTTTCCCTCTTCAACTCTGCACAGTTTGACTGAAAACATTCAAGTGAAGTAGAAATAAGGACACACTTTGGAGTGGTGGGGGACTTTAAAATGCCGTGTGATTTTTATTATGTGCAAAACAATTTATATGAGCATAAAAAAGTGGCTTACAATCATAACGATCAAATTCAACAAGAGTTAGATTTCATCAAAAGGTGGAAGTACAAAGAAAAAAAGCATCAAACATTCAGCTGCATTATGTCAGACACTATACGGAGATAACAGATAAAAACAATGACAGCTTGTGTTTGAAGGAAACCCCTGGTGTTAGTTTACAGTCTAAAAACATCCGAGACACTCTGATTGTTTAAGTTCAAAATCTTCCAACCAACAAACCAACAACTAGCGTGTTTGGACTATAAACTATAAACTATACGGGGCATTTTGCATTTTATTTGCAAGGCTTGGCGTCTTTGAGAAGTTCACATCGGTCCGCCACGGCCCGGACTTCTCCAACCTGAACGCTGTCATACGTCCCGGTGATGGACGTGGTGTGGATCTCCCCATTAGCGTAGGTGCGTTTGAGGCTCGCCGTGTACGGGATGTTAACTGTGATCTTATGTTGCTCCATATTAACCACGCAGTAACTGTTTGGCGGGGCCGTGACCTCCACAGAATCAGTACTGGTGATGGCCTCGGTCACCGTCTTTCCCCAAGAGTACTGGAACGACACTTCGATGCCCAATTTAATACTGTTGGAGACGATGAAAGGGATTTTGGCTGTGAGGGTCATTTCAACACCTGCTTTGATAGAATCGCTGTTGTCCCACCTGTGCTCCACCTGGTACGTTTTTGAAAGGGAGTCTGTTTTCACCACTGAGCGGCATTCGTAGTTGCTGACAGATGTTTTCCGCATGACCTCCGGAGGATATTGGATGAATTTAGACTCATCAGTGATGTACCCTGCGATGAACTGTCAACCTGTCCAGGGTGTACCCTGCCTTCGCCCAATGTCAGCTGGGATCGGCTCCAGCGCCCCGCGACCCTGAACAGGATAAGCGGTTTGGATAATGGATGGATCGATCAGTGATGTACCTGACATTGTAAACCTGCTGGCTGATTATAGCCTCACTGGTGGTCAGGACCTGGTAGGAGCTGTATGAAAATAGAGAATTCTTCCATGAGAGGTAGAAGTGCTTCTCTTCAGTCACAACCTGCCCAAGTCCATGTTGGTTCTTCCCTACATATATATTTCCCCTTGAGCAGGTTGTGACTGAACTCTGGGGCACTGAACCTTGCGAACCCTCTTTCCACTCCAGGATCTCAAACGGGGAACCAGCATCTACTTTTTTTGCATTGGCATAGTTGCAATAAGAACCCATGCTGGGAGTATAAAAGCCAGCCTCACACTTGTATTTGCAGACATAATCGATGCGATCAAAGTAATCAACGTAAATTGAAACTGCATGGTCTGGGAGAGAGTTGTTCCAGGTCACCCACTCCAGGTTAGAGCCACTGCCAGACAAGAAGGAGGAGGCCAGGTTAGAGCCATCAGCAGACACGAAGGAGGAGGACTGAACCTGCCTCTTCTGCATTAGCTTAGCAACAGTTAGAAGAGGGCGATCCGGTAGCAGCAATCGGCTCTCTGTGATTTCAGGGGTGCCATTTATATCCGATTTCATGAAGGAGACTAGAAAAAGAAAAGGGGAAAAGGCACAAACAATGTTTGCTTTAATATGAAACACAAATCACAAACAGAGAGAAAAGTGTAACGTTACCTTTGAAATGAAAAACAAAGCAGCTTTCTGATTTATGAAGACAGTAACTGACCTCTCCCTTAACTTACAGTTTGTTTCCTATCAGTTGGTCTTCTACTTTTGTCCTCACTGAAATGTCTCAATAATTATTGGATGGATAGACATGTTTGCATTCATTATCCCCAGAGGATGGATCCTAATGATGCTGGTGACTTCTTCTTTAGTGCCTCCACGAGGCTGACAATTTTGGTTTTTAGTGACAATAATTGTATTGAAATTTGAGTGATACATTCAATGTTTCCTACAGGACAACATTTGCATTGACAGGTCATTTTGTAGGCACCAAAGCTTTGTATGTTTTGAATTAGCCCTGAATATAACTTTAAATTTAAGCCTGTGAAAGTGCAAAGTCTTTGTAACATAACAGACAGGTCGAAACTCTTTTCGTATTTTTCTAAAGAAGAAGGAAGGGCAGGCGTGAGCCTATGTAGTAGGATATATAATATGAAGTAGGCTACATTTCTCTTCATCATGATTGTATTTACCGTTTGATTTGATTTTACAAACCTCATGTTGTAAAACATTACTTTAAGTTACAGCGTGGCTCCAAAACAAGCTAAAACGGCAAACGACAGGTGTGTGAACGCACTTTCCTAAAGTCACAGTGGAGCGACAGAAAGACGCAGCAGCAGAGCATTGAGAGGTAAACTGTGTCTGAAGATTATGTGCGAGTGAAAGAAAACCCTTCTAATACTGTATGTTAATAATTAAGTATTGTTAACATACAGGGGTGGAAGAAGCACTCAGATATGTACTTTAGTAAAAACTAATAATACTACTGTGTAAAATACTCTGTTACAAGTACGCTAAATGTTAAAAGACAACATTTCCATTTTCAAAAGCTTTATAAACAGCTCCTTTATAATAGCTTTTTTTCTGAAAATATTACTCAAGTAAAAGTACAAAAGTATTATACAAAAGCTAGTTAGCAAATGTTAGCGTGCTAACACATTAGATTAAGATGCTAAACATGGCAACGGTGTTGTCTAGTTCATTGTATTGGTTATACTGTGCTTACATTTCATTGGATACATTCACTCAATGCTCAGAGAAAAGAGAGGGATTTTAAAACAAGTGACACTAGGACAGGATTAGTATGTAGAAAAATATATAGTTCTTAATTCACTGTGTCTAAAAGAGGCATAGCTAGAGTTTATATCGTTTATACAACACATTGTATTGGGGTGTGGCAGAAGTCTCAAAAGTAAATCTCAGCATATAAAACCAAAGCCCAAGCATCTAAACCACTAGTTACACACGGGGGGAGGTTGGAAAACACATTTAGTTTGTGACTTGGAACAATAAACCAACGCACTACAGAGTTTTGTCTCAAGATTCTTTGTTGCTCTATAATCCATTTATAATAAACAAATCCCAGTTATTTTCCCCATTTCCCCAAATTTATGAAGCCAGTTTGTGTTTACCGTTTTCCTGCTCCGTGTTGCTCCGATGTCCAGAGGACTGGCTGAAGTCTGCAAGACCAGCAGCAGCAGCACTGACAGCTTCATCTGGAGATGAAACACGAAACCAAATCTTTAGAAAAGTGCTTTCACAAAACAGCATTAAACCGACACAAGCTTGGTGAAGAAGTCCCCTCGGTGTTTAGCCACCGAGTCACGATTGTCTGTACATGGCAAATCTGTTTTTGTAAGAATAATAGGTTGGAATAGATTTTGGAAATATAGAACAAAACACAAATAAAAACAATAATAATAATAAATTCATTGTTTTTTCACAGGTATTACATTTTGTAACATTTTTTGTATTTCAAGATTTTTTTCAAGACATTTTCCATGTCACCATTCATATATTTGATCTATTGAATTCTCTGAAATATACTCATAATCTTTACAATTTGACATATTTAACCCTTAGTGAACTCTAGGAGAAATACTCACCATCATATTGTCCTTCACTGAATGCACCTGCAGTATCCACCTCCTTTATACTGTAGCTGCATAATGGCTGAGTCACTTAACACTGTACTGTCAATGTGTCTTTGCTCTGCTTAAAAAAAGAAAAAGAGTATATTGGTTACCAAACTAAAAGTAACTTGGTTGCTCATTGGTTTGGATGGAGCTTTAAAGAATGCTAGTTTATAAGTAATGGCTATTACAGGAAAATACTTCCTTGAAATGATACTTCTGTGTTTCCCTAAACATTTACTATTTAATGGAGATTATATATTGCATCTAATATGTTCCTGCAGCATCCCAAAATGGGGGTATTAAAATCAGTTGTAAGGTCACTTACGAAAAGGGGCAATATGTTTGACGGTCTCTTTTGAATTGTTGAACTTTGTTTTACATTTGGATTACAGTAATAGCATGTCTAAACTAGAAAGGTGCAGATGTCCGCCAGGTGTGTATTCAATGACCACTGCTTTATTGTATAATTAAATTAATACAATCCACAATTGGCTAACCCCCAATTGGCTAGCCAAACGCACCGCAAACTGTCTCTGGGCGCAGACTAGCGGCCGTGTGCTTAACCGGCTGGTTAAGAGTAGTGAGTGTTGGTCACTGCAACCACGAGAGGTCCTTGAGCATGCAGCTATAGCTGGCACTTCAAATATGATGTAGTTTGCTGCAGCAGAATGCTGTGGACAAACAGTGGTGCACTCTCGCTCACTGAATGTGACTGATTGGATGATCCTTCTGGCGGAGATCACAAAGTTGTGAAGTTGTTTTACAGTAAAATTATTGACTGCATACAGGAAGTCACCGTAACGTCACCCACTGGTTTGTGGACTACGGTTTTGAAGCCTCGAGTTTGGCATTTTGTCCTTCTCCATCTTGTTTTTTTTTTTGGAACCAGAAGTGACCATATTTATGTAGACTAGAGAAAACTGCAAGTGTTGGTGTGTTTTACGGAATAAACCAATTAGCTTCATAACTTAGATTTCGTTAGTGTATAATCATTTGATGTTTTTCGTTAGCTTAGAATAACTCGTCATGGAGTCCGGCGTGTTGCACCGCCATGTTTCTTAAGTATCCCAGAAAGGAGAAACCAAACACTTGCTCTAGAGACAGCCTGTTGCGTTTGTATGTCACCTGAAGGCCGCTTCTTCAGGCAAGGCCAGCATGCTTGGGAAGGGAGGGATTAGCGAAGGCGTATTCGGTAGATTTGCTCTTAATTTTCCATTTAGCACCTTTTAAAGGACAGAACAGTATCTTTAAATTCCCTTCTGAAACTTGCCGGGAAAATGGAGGACACTTCAACTGCCAAGTGGGAAACATATTGGTGACTCATTAGTTTAGTAGTCTCTGTCTGATACTTCCTTGTGTGTCTGTTTTCTCGTAGATTAACCATCCCAAAATGTGGTTCTATCTGGCCTCGTCATATTAAAGTAATAGGATAACTTATTTTATGTTACTGTTACGGTTCCTTGTGGCAGAATTGTGCTTTTGTACCTTGAGTATATAAATATGTTATTAGTCTAAAATAAATACAATTAACAATATTTTTTGTCAAAATATACTGAAACGATACACACAAATTCATAATTCAGTCTGAAACCTGGATTCAGGTTCACAGTTTGGTACGTCAACAACAGAGAGTAACTGGGTGACACCTGATTCATCCTTCAACCTGTTACACTGAAAAAACAACCTCCGTACCACACTGGTTTATATTCAACATATGCATCAGTGATGCTGTGATTCAAACAGACTGTTTACCTGTAGCACACCTGTGAGCAGGTTTGTTAAGCCTCAGTGTGGCACTGGATCGTAGTATCTTTATTTTAATCTCTGTGGAAGGATGTTTGCCAACTGTTTTCCTACTTTGTGTGGATGAAATATGTTTATTGGAAACGTAATCGAAAGGCTTGAAATTTAACTGCATTAGTTCAACTTGTATAAAATGAGATAGTTAACAATGAATATTGTCTTGGTGACACTAACCTGTGAATTATCAGTAGAAGGGATTGAATGTTTTAAATAGAAGCCATGGGAAGAAAAGGGTTCATATAACTGGATGCTTGTTCGTAAACAGGAGGGTTGTCAGTGTGATAGTGGAAAGAACCAGTAAATCATTGGTATCATAGTGTCTGTGTGATACTTCCTTGTGTCGCTGTTTTCTTTTATAGGTTAATCATCCATGAACGTGATTCTATCTGGCCTTGTCGTATTAAAGGTGGCTTGTGGCCTTATGAACTGTATTGTCAGACCAAGGTGATTTAGCTTGTCTTTCACCAGATCCATCATACCACACCTTACAAAAACATTTTAATATCTGATGGTAATAACACATTTATAAAGCTTCTCTAAATGTAAAGCACTTTTTTTGGAGCTTTTAAACCGCGAATAAAGGCATCATCAACCAATTGAGTTTTTTCTTGCACGTTTTTTTCTTCCCGGCAACAGCAACAAAGAAAATACTGTAAATTATTTGTAGTCTTTTTGTTAAGTTTTAATAAAGTTATTCTTACGGAATTTGCTTTTTATGCTGCAAGAAGTCAATCCTGGATGACAAAATAATAACAAATATGTTGTGATTTCAATGTTCAATAGAACTTTACTATGTCATCTATGTGTCTTTTGTAAATGTTGAGACACAAAAACAATCCTGTGGCAAATACAATCTTTCTCCATTTGTTTCTTTTGAGCCATGAATCCGTTCTACAGAAGAAGTAGTCCCTCGAGAGGAAGTTCAAAGACATTTATTCATATTCTTAAAAAGCTGAAATATCTAAGATATCCAGCAGGTGGAAGTGAAAGATCACTAATTTCTCACCAGACATTGTTGCTGGTGTGCCAGTCCCCAGCTCAGTATCTCACACAGCAGTGCAGTGATGCTCAAACATGATATTATATCATATATTACATCGCATAACATCCACCCACGTCAATTTGAATGTAGAAATACTAACAAATGCTCTTCTTCTACTTAAACTTGTGTTATGATATTTGTGTTTCTTGAAGATCAAGTTAAATCTATTTTTTTCTAAGAAATCAATGAATAAGTTTCGTGTTGGGTCACATGAAAACAAGTGAGCCATCTCCATGAAGACGGAGCAAACTCAACCCCCTGACTTTTTCTGACAGAACAGCCAATGTTGAATTTGCTGACTAGAGTTACTAAAGTGTTTGGGTTTCTGTTTGATAACCAACATGTGTTGTGTCTCTGAATGTAAAGCGTGATCAAGGTGATTCTGTCTGTATTATGGTCGTATGAGGAGATTTTGGATTTCTCAAAGTTCATTAGATGTTGTTTGGAAGGACGGAGGACATTTGAACACTGTATTGAGTTCATGATACGCTGAAGGCCATTGATAGATTGGAGGATGGAGGTAACTGATAACTTACTGTCTTATCAGTGTGTTTTACTCGTTAATAATCCTGAATCTTATCCTGCAATTGTTTTATAATGGGTGTTGAGATCAGCGCGAACACAATGGCACAGTTGCTGTAAATTATAGATAATAGACTTCTTCAGATTTTACTTTCAGCACCTTCGTCTTGTTAAGGCAAGACACTACAGCCACAATTATGATTGTTTCAACAAAATGAAATAATAATTTGGAACCTGGCTTTATCCAAAGTTCAGAATTTATGTTCTGGAAATGTCTGCAAAATAGCACAAATTTAATAAGATAATGCCTATTTTACGCATTTAAACATACATTTTCAGAAAACCTGTAATCCGAAAAATAACTGTCTTAATGTCAGTAATGAGCTGCATACGTTTCATGGTGATATCTGTTCGTTCTATTTTTTTACCCTGTCCACTGACCGTGAAGCACATTGAAGCTCCACATTCATACAACTACAGACATAACCACCTGAGCTGGTCGGTGATATCAATATGGAGGGGTGTTCTTCCTTTTCTGCAATCCAGAGCCTTAATTTGCTCTCAGCTCAACAGGAGCAGTTGCAGTAAAATGTCTTGCTCATTGACACCTCAACATTTCAAGGTGTCTAACCTCAACCATCTCGCATGAGTTTCGAAACTTTTTTGTTATCTCCTAAGGCCTATTTAACATGATAATGCTATTGCAGTGTACTTATTATTTTCATTATTTTCATTTTCTAAAGTCACCAAAGTACTGGAGACAAAGTCTCTGAAACTCAAATTGTGCTAGGAGAGGACCCTCCAACCCCCCACGTTGGTTTCCAAAACCTCCCTATTTTTGAGGTCACAAGGTTGGCAAGTATGGAGCTGCAGTAGGTGATAATTCCATATTATCCCCTCTGAACCTTCAGTGCCATCATTCTCCAAAGTTCTGTTGTTTTCAACAGAAACATGTCCCCATAAATTCTGAAATTCTCCACTGCTATGCTGACGATACCCTGCTATTCTGTCATTCCCCCCATCTGACACTTGAGGTATGTAACTATATCTGTAATGGATGTCAACGCACCAACTAAAGATTCCACCTGGAGAAGAGGAAATTATGCTCCACTTAGGCTTTCCATTACTTTGAATGGCAGTTGGATCACATATCAAACAAAAATCCATCTTGTCAGGCTTGAAGTTATGCATTTGTGTCCGGACCAATCAGTGTCCTGTGAGGAGCTACTGGTAGCTCGGCTTAGGAGGTTGACTGTTCGTTCTCAACATCAATGGCGGCTCCTAAAGAGAGGTTAGTGTAGATGCTTTAATTGCATTAGAAGTGGAAAGTATTTATTTGTTTAAAGAAGAGCAAAGAACTTTTCTCGATTGGAAAAGATGTTTTTTGCTATTTTGCCCGATTGGCTTTGTTTGATTGACAGATGGTTCATCCAAATCACTTGCCAAGTAAGTTTCTAATGACGGCATCTTGGAGGGTTCTCAGGTTTGTGTCCATCATCATTTAAAATAACAAGGTGGTGCCAACTTTGTCTCTTTGGAAGAGATGCTCCTACAAGTTTGACGTTGCCTTGCTCTTGATTCTACGGAGGTTGAATGTACTTATTGTAAGTACATTTAGACCGAAGCGCTAGATTACCATAATGGAATGGAATCCAGTCTGTAAGTTTAATAGTTGATGGTGGACAGACTCAGAAAATAATTGTCTTTTGACAGAAATCATAGATTCAGATTTGCCAAATATCTCATCTTCATTGGCCAAAGTATAATCAATGCACAAAATGATATGAAAGTCTATATATTTGCAGTTATAGACAAACAAACAGAGACGAAAAGTTTTAGGGAACATGAATCCCATCTTAGTTTGAGAAAGACACTGACAGCTGTTAGCAAAACCCGCTGCACCAGTTTATGTTTATGGGTCAACGTCAGGCAGAGTGAAAGTGCACAGTCTGCTTTATGGTTCAGCCATAAACCAGTACATATAACCTGGGAGGTGACTGGCTGAGTGGACTCAGTGGGGAGCGACTGTAAGGGTGAGTGCTGTTCAGTCTCTTTTCCCCTTGAGTCAATCAGACTTCATTATGATGATTGGCAATAATCTCCAATAATCAAATTGTATATTAGTAGCATCTGTGGTAGAATGCAAAGCTTTTACGAAAAACACAAGTGGACTCAGGATGACAAAAAATTAAAATTGAAGATAAAAAAGATTACAAATGTTTATGGTTAGAGGTTGTAGATAACTTGTAACATGTTGAAACAGGGAGATCATTATTGCAACTTCAAAATATTGATTGTGTCTCATTCTGTGTTTAACATGAAGGTGGTTTAAATGTTCATCCAAAACCAATGATGCCACTTTAATGTCTTCAATTCAGATCTCTTTTCAGGGCAAAATGGAAGACGTGTTTGGCAGAAGATCATTTCACATGTTGAGTTTAAAGAAAGTCTGTTTTTGTGTTTCATCTGCAGATGAAGCTGTCAGTGTTGTTGCTGCCGGCCCTGCTGGCTCTGTCCTCAGCCAGTCTGCAGGACATCGTGAAGAAGAGCGCACAGCACAGAAAAGGTAAACATTTCATATTTTTCATATTGTGTGAAACTAATCGATACAGACAGTAGCTGCATTGCACCTGTAGTATAACTGCACAGGCTAAATATGTTCTGAAGTAGATGTTCTCCAGACTGCTGTATGGTTACATATGTAAAATCTCCGTTTGTCTCTTTTTGCACAGCTTCCTTACTGAACCCCGAGCTGGAGGGTATGGTGCCTGAACCGACGGGTAACCAAGTGGTGTCGGGTCCTCTGACTCCCGCTGACCTGGAGCAGCAGCAGGATCTACCTTCCTCCTTCATTTTCGGCAATAACGTGAACCTGGAGTGGTTGACCTGGGGCGGCTCCGTGCCCAACGGCGCTGTTGCGATCTACAACGGCTACACCGAGCGCACCGACTACGTCTGCAAGTACAAGTGCGAGGCCGGCTTCTACAACCCGAGCCTGGGCCCCTACTGCCGCTACCCCTACGGAGACGCAGAGTACTACGCCCCCGAGTTCGAGATCCTGGCCAACAAAGACAACTTTGAGTTCCTTGAGTGGAAGGAAGATTCCTACGGTTCAGTGCCCCAATACTCAGTCAGGACCTGCCCAGGTGTTGGTATTTACGTTGGGAAGAACAAGTACGGCCTCGGGAAGGTTGTTCCTCAGTTCGAAGCCTTCTTCCTGCCTTGGGAAGGCGATGAGTACTGGTACAAGAAGTACCAGGTTCTGACCATCAACAGGGATGCCTACAGCCAGCACATCACTGACGTCAAGTACGCCATCGACGATGTCGCCATCTTCCAGTATCCTCCCGAGACAATGCGCATCTCCGGGGTCACCAACAACGAGTGCCAGACGGTGGTGAAGACAGTCACCATCTCAAAGACCACAGAGGTGGAGACCACCTGGAGCATCGGCCGGGCCACCATGCTGGGTATCACCGGCAGCATCTCGGCTAAAATCCCCTTCATCGGCTCCGGGGGCATCGAGCTGAGCGGTGAGAAGACGCTGCAGTTCTCCAGGGGAACCACCGTGGTGGAGTCGCTCAGCCACTCCGTGTCCGTGGAGCTCACCGTCCCGCCGAACCACTCCTGCAGAGTTCGCATGGAGGGGCGCAAGATCACAGCCGACATCCCTTACACCGCTCGCCTCAGCCGCACCTACCGCAACGGAGAGACCCAGTGGACCTCCATCTCTGGGACGTACGACGGAGTCCAGATCGGAGAAGTCCGGGCCGTGGTGGACCGCTGCGAACCCGTACCCGATGCGCTGCCATGCCCCTGAAAGACTGATGGAAAAACACACCAAAATATATCTTTTGAACATCTGAAAGCAAATGATGCGTCACAATAAAAAAACATAATGCCAAAGACATGTTGTGTGTGCATGTAAAATATATTTTGTCAGCTGGTTTTCAACATGTTGGAAATACATAAAAACAATAAAAATCATATGGCACTTTATCTTTTTGTCCACTTTAATAATAATATTATGACATTTTTACTATCTGTGACTTTAGATTCACATCGTACACAAACATTAAGGAAGGTACATTTTCACTACAGTTTTGATTTTCTGCTGATTTAACTTCTTCTATCATTCAGGGGGAAATATTTGATCTATCTGACAGCTGGAGTTACGAGTTTATCAAATAAACATTTTCTATACAAAATAATGAATACATGCTAAATTATTAGTTTAATACTACTTGTTTTGATAAATGGAATTTTGAGTGTTGGACTTTTACTTTAAATTTAAGCTATTAGTTCATTATTTATACACTTTATTACATATTAAGCAATTTCATGGAACACTGAGATAATTAGAGTGCAATAAAAGACACTCAAACAGACGTAGGGTTTTAATTGCCCACAGGCGTTTGCACAAGAGATAATGCTTAAAAATGTTAAAAACATGACAAAAGAAAATGGAGATGATAAGAACATAAATTCAAGATACAAAAGAAATGCAATGTGAATACATTTTTAAAAAATGTGGATGGCTTCACAATAGGTTGAAGTTTCATGACTGAGCATACAAATGTCATTATTCAGTTTTACTCCATTTAATAGGCCTAATAACTCTTGTTGCAAAGGTTCTTATGTATATTTATACACTTCCTTGTAAATTCTGGTCAATATTCTCCTGAAGTTTAATCCTCACAAAGCCAGTGTGCAGTTATGAATTTGCTTTCCATAACTAAAAGAATATTCAGCAAATTTGCATGTCTCCAATCTTCAGGGATTTGCTCAAACTTTTGCAGTCAAAACAATATTTATGAGAAAACAAATCACCAAAATAACATGCAAATAGTTATTTTTACATATAGAGATATTTATTGATAATTTTCTATTGGTATTCTTTCAAAAATGTCCAACAGCGGGCTCAAGTTCTCCAGAGTTCAGACAAGATCACGACCGTTTCAGATCAACAGGTGTTTCAGTTTAACAAGCGACCGTGTTAACTGGTGACTCTCAGACAAAAGCCTCCGTGGTTGCTCGTTATGTAAATGGTCGATAGATAATAAACACAGATATTTAATACCGATTAAAGGCTTTTACGACTGTCATTACTACAAGCAACCACGACTCATTCTGCTTGGAGTCACCAGTTACCACGGCCACTGGTTAAACCGCCACACCGGCAGCGTCTACAGCTTTATTGGACTGTATTTTAACAGTGAATCAAGTGAAAGCTCTGAGTGTCTTCATGGTGTCTGACGTTCTGTTCATGAACACAGAGAACAGAGTTGATCATCTGGTGACTTGTAGCTCCTGATGTCTCTCTGTGGAACGTTACACACATACATATTTATATCTGGACTCTAAATACTGGACCACCAGCTGATGTCTTCTACTCACTGATAGGAATCAGATCTTAGTTTGCATTCTCCATCTTTGGTGGTTATTGTCATTACATAGTTTGACAAGCTGTCGCCGTACTTCTGTTCGTCTTAATTGATTACAAACTGTAAAAGTGAAATATACCTGCTTACCATCAGTATGTTAGCATTACCATTGTGAGCATGTTAGCATGCCGAACTCAGCATTTATCTCAGAGCACAGCCGTGTGTAAGTACAGCCTCGCAGAGCCACACTCTGAGTACAGTAGCTCTACAGTTTAGTTCTTTTAGTTCACTACCTATTAGACAAAGCGCTGCAGCAGCAGCTTTAAGAAGGGAGACATTCAACATCCAGCGTTGACGTTGAATACAGTAATTATTTTCCTTCAACGCTGCAAATGAAAATCTTTCCTTGTGAGAAACGTGTCGTTTCAGCTTCAATCGTGTGAAGATTAGATGAACAAGAACATCGCTGATCGTCACGTCGTGAACAGAATAATTCACACAAGTTTCCTCACACGCTGGGCTGAATGCTGCAGCAGCTGAAGGCCGTGACAGGGCGGGTTTTGTCAATGTGAATGACCTTCACACTGCCCTCATTCAGACTCGAATAGATTGATAATCACTCCTTGTCTCAAGGACGCTCACGGATGGCCGTGACATCTCAATGATATGGGGCCGAGCGTGCAGAACAATGTCCGTGTCGAGCGGCTTCTCCCCTGGACGTTACGTAACGGGGACCTTCTTAATCAATGAGCCACTATTACGAGGAGGGGATCAGATCTCCGTGTTCCCAGCCTGAGCTTATCTAAACCTACAGTATCTCGCCATCAGTGGACAAAGAGCGCCGCAGCACTTTGGACCTTCGTGCAGTCAGATACGGGACGTTAAATCCAGGCCAATTTATTTATGAAGCACTTTTAACGAAATCACAGAGTAAATTCACAAGCAGGAGGAGGGAGGAGTGCTGTTGTTCTAAGCAGGGATCAATAAAGAATCCTGTTATCATTATCAGCACGAAGAGTCTTCTTTACAGGCCTCCAGGATGTTTTCTAGCCAAGGACAAAGTAGGTCAGAGGTCTACAAGGTAACTGGTTCTGGTTCCGGCTAACACGACAAAAATAAGACTAAACACACTCATGTATCATGTTCAGCTCCTGTAGATGAAGGTTAGAGTCTTGCTTCTCTATTTGGTGCCTCGAAATCAACAATCTCCAGTATAGTTGTAGCTGAACGGGTGCAGAGAGACACTTATAAATCATAATTGTTAGATGTACAATCAATATCTCGGCTTGTTCTGGCTCCTGTAGATTCATGGTTCTCTCTGTTAGAGATGAATCCTACTGCAGCGGGCCGACTGAACCATGTTGCTCCTTTTGATAGGGGGGGGGGGACCCTCCACTATCTATTTATTTTTGATACAAAGTTCAGCCTCTCAAACGATTTTATTCATCCAATTTTAATTTATTCATGACACTGATTGTTTAGAGTTAAGAAATCACAAACAAGCCTCAGATACACTAAAGATGTGTCAACGTTCTTTCTTTCAATCATTTTATTTTCAGTTTATGTTCCACGCTATATGTTACCCTCAGAAAGAAAAGTACATAACATAACGGCTAACCATAAACAATCAGACTCAGACACTAAATACATAAATACAAATAAAAAACACACAAACATAAATATTTGTAAGTATTGCTCTTGTACCACTGAAGTAGAATAAACTTGCTCAGAAACTGGAATTTTGAAAAACAATTAATTTCAGGATTTAAATAAACAAGTAAAATTAAAACTGTACAGTTTAAGATATTCCCTAATGTTATATTTATATCTACAAAGTTATAGCTACTACTACTAACATTATTATCTTTTTAATTTATTTAGCTTTTTTAGATGTTGGGATTGTGGGAGGGATGTACAATAGATATTATAAAGATACTTGTTGTTTTGATGTCTGAGAGGTAACTACTGTAACTATAAAGTAACAAATAGAGTGTAACAAATAAATAAATTATGAATTAAGAACAGCAGGCTTATTTTAAAATCTGAGTTTTATTATGAACCTGAGAAGGGACAGTTTTCTTTAAACCCATAAAGGAACAAATATTCTTTTAAATCATCTAAAAACATGAAGAATCAGCTCTAAATGTTGTTCACTTCCTGGTGGCATCTAATCATTACTGTTGAGCCCCTCAGCTGTCTGAACATATGATCTATTGGCACACATTTATGAGGATTGTATGAAGGTTTCTGTTTCTTCTGTGTCCTTGAGCAAGGCATTAAACCTCAGAGGTCAGCTCTCATTGAGAATAACCAAACACCGTTAAGTAGTTTTAAACTGAAGTTAACTGGGAATATGTTGCTTCATGAAGCTCCCGTGAGTCTGTGACACTAACAGCAGCGACCGAATTCTCCCTCCGCTTTATTGCGGCAATAATTCTGCAGAGGTTTTAAAACTCTCCTTCTGCTGCCGGCGGCGTCACTGCAGGAGGAAGCTGTCGAGGTAAAAACTGCTTCTCTGTCTGAATGAACACATTTCTCTGTCTGATTGTTTCCTACGGTGCATGAAATTGATTGACGATCAGATTTAACAATAATCTAAGATATTGAAATCTGAAACATTAAAATCCTTCTTGTTACTATTTGTTGTTGCTAGAAAAGGTTTCCAGTAATATTTTAATATTGTATTGAAGTAATAATACATGAATGGGCATCCAGTTATTCAAAATGTAATATTTACCTAAATTATGCATCTTGTTTGGCGCTGAGCCTTTTTATTCTTTTACATGAAGTGATACAATGTGTCATTTTTATTAAATATGTATTCTTTGCATTATGTGTTTTATAGTATCACAGTTATCACACATATCCTGCATGATGCAACGTTCTGCATCATATCATTATGTAGTTTAAGTAAAACTAGTCAAAACAACTAAACTTGTGTTTTGAACAAAATGCAACTTCATACTAGATATTACTTTCATGTAAAGATACAAACTTATTTATGTATTGTTGATGTCACAGATTTAATTTCATTTATATCTGCTCAGATTTCTTTCTTTCAGTAATTTACTGTATGATTCTGCATGTTGGTAACTGAGATGATTCTCATTTTAACACTTAATTATTACTGGAGTCAAACTTTATGAAAGATTTGGAGTATACCTCTCAACCATAAATTACATTGTTTGACATAAAACACATTTTTCAACACGTTTTTCACCTGCTATTAAAACACAAACTCAAAGGTTTTTTTCAACTCCATTGGCCTTCACATAAAAAAACAAAATCATATTTTCACAAAAATGCACTGCCCTAAAACTCTTAAACTTAATGAAGTATTTTGGTGCCAAAAGCCAGCCGTCTGTGTTAAGAAGTATTCAAAGGTTTCAACAGTTTCTCAAGTTAAACAGTTTCAAAACAACTAAGTAAAGTAACTTTATTAATTGTTGCATTGTAATAACTGTTGGGACTCAGCAGGATTTATTCAGAAAGCTAAAAACAACAAGTAGAAGGTGGACTGATTTGTGTCTGAAAAGTTAGGCAGTTTTAATCTCTTTTAAATTTAATATCAAACCAGAAATGTATGAGAAACATGCAGGTTATTACAGTACAGCTCAAAGCTAGGGTAGGTATTACATTACATTACATCCCGACAGCAATCAATGAATCAAATGCTGTGACTGCAGTCGCTGCTGTTGCAGACTTTCATTTGGTCAGAAAGTAGAAGTTCTTGTGTCTTCTGGAGGGAGGCCTGAAGAGTTAGCAACATTTGCAGCTAATGCTGTTCTCTACTTTCATTGGAGAAGAGTTAGAAACACTGGGCTCAGGTTTTATATCCTCCTCTTGTTAGTTTCTCAAGAATACAAAACACTTTAACTTTTCTCCCTTTCGTTATTCTTTTCACAAAATATTGTTGTAAAAATAATTAGTCAATCAGCTTCCAAAGGAGGAGGCGACCACTCAACCCTCGCCCTGTGTTTCATTACTTTGGTACATTTGATGAGTTTTGTGTCAAACTGAATCCCCGGGATGCTGACATGTTGTGTTGTTGTTGTTGTTGTTGTTGTCCAGATGAGGTGGTGTGTGGCTGTTGTCTCGGTGGTGCTGCAGCTCTGCAGCCCAGCGCTGCAGTCTGACCCGCTGCTCTACGTGGCCCAGCTGCAGGACGGGAGAGAACAACCCAACAGTGAGTCTTCATTAGCATGAACTAAAAACATGATATATTTACAACTAGAGGGAACAAGTGTCCTCTCCCACAATGTTCACCAAAGTGTATCCGCACGGTGAGTCGGACCCTCTCCAAAATGTAACGGGTTCTTCCCCTGTCTTCACCTGTCAACTTAGCCTCATACAACGACTCTGACATCTTACGAATGATGTTCCTGCAAAAGTCCAGCAACACGTGATAATTTCTCTTCGTTGCATGAACGCAGTCTTTTCAAAATAAACTTCAGTCCTCACAGGAAACAGCTCAGTTAAGTTTAGGCAACAAATATACTTAGTCAAAGAAAAGTATGCAAGTTTCGTGACAAATAAATCAACGTTGACTTCTCGCGGGAACAAACAGGCTGAAAGATCGCTTTTTGTTGGACCCATCTACGAATTACGACGCATTGTTTTTCGTAGGAATAGCTCCGGATGCTGGAGGAGACCAGCCTGCACCTTTCCATCAAGGTTCATGAAAAGATGTAATCCTGCTGTCAAACAAACGAACCGAACTGAGAACATTACCTCCTTGGCCGGTGTAATACCAACACACAAGCCACTTTATGACAGTGGCTGACCAAAACATGACATTTTGACTCACGATATACCTGCTTTCATCTGCATGTCGTGCATCTGGCATTCCCTCAAACTGTCAGTCGTGTGCACCCTCGAAAATCTACGCTAGACATCCGCAAGAAGCAGGTATCGGTGTTCGCAAAAATCTCAAGATCTCAAAGAAGATATTCTAGAGACGGACAGGAAAAATTTTGCCGCCTCAAGCACATGAATGTTTCTTGGATTACAGCCTTTGATTAAGACGAGACACTGTTTTTATTTGGAATTGTTTATATTGTTGGATTTTGGTCAATGTAGTCTCCTGAAAAAAATCAGTTTTATACTAAAACCAGTTTCTTCCCGTCTTTCCAGAGCCATGGCTGAACCCCACGCTGGAAGATGTTGTTCCTTCCCGGGAAGTCATCCAACCTCCTAAAATCAGAGAGATCCCAGAAACCGAGTCGACCTCTCACTCCTCCCCCATGTTCGGTGAACACGCCAACCTCAAGTGGGTGACGTGGAGCGGCCAACTCCCAAACGGCGCCGTCGCCATCTTCAACGGCTACACCGAACGCACCGACTACGTGTGCAAAGTCAACTGCGAGGCCGGCTTCTACTCGCCCAGCAAAGGGAACTTCTGCCGGTACCCGTACGCCGACAAGGAGTACGCGGCCTCCAAGTTTGAAATGCTGGTCAACGTGGACCACTTTGAGTTCCTGGAGTGGGTTGAAGACTCGTACGGGTCGGTCCCGGGTTACGCCGTCAAAACCTGCCAGGACTCGGACATCTTTGTGGGCAAAAACAAGTATGGTCTCGGCAAAGTGGTGAGCCAACACGAGGCCTTCTTCCTCCCCTGGGAGGGCGATGAGTACTGGTACAAGAGTTACCAGGTTCTCGCCATCAACAGGGACGGCTACAGCCAGCACATCTCTCACGTGGTGTATGGCATCGACCAGATGGAGCTCTTCCACCATCCTCCTGAGGCCCTGCAGCTCGCCAAAGTCACCAACCTGGAGTGCAGAGCCGTGGCGAAGACGGTGACACTGGAGAAGACCAGCTCGGTGGGGAAGACCTGGGACATCGGCAGAGAGACCCGCAACGGCTCCGTCTCCACCATGAAGGCCAAGGTGCCCATCCTCGGCCCGGGGACCGTGGACTTCACCAAGGAGCAGAAGGTGACCTTCTCGGAGGGGACCAGCGTGGTAGAGTCCATCGGTCACTCCGTCTCCGTGGAGCTGCTGGTCCCGCCCAACCACTCGTGCGCTGTGAGGATGGACGGCAGGAAGATGACGGCCGACATCCCGTTCACCGGCAGGCTGAGCAGGACCAACCACAACGGAGACACCCACTGGACGTACATCACGGGCATCTACGACGGCGTGAGAGTCGGCGAGATCAACGCCGTAGTGGAGAGGTGTCAGCCGGTGACGGACGCCGTCCCCTGCTCCCCAACTCAAGACTGAGGACTTCAAAAGTTAAATAAAACTCTGTTTTCAAAATAAAATACAATCATGAATGTAAAGGCGTTTCTTTGTATTTTTTTAGATTTTACTCAACTACTTGCTCCTTGAAAGTATTTTTTTCAGTTATTTAATGTATTACTTGTCAAGTTACAACGCTGAACTATTTTTTAAATCCCTTGAAATAAACGTGTATGAAGATATGGCATCAATATTTTGTAACAACATTGAAATAAAAAAGGAAATATCGAACCGAAAGAAATGATAAATTAAATTTAAAAAATTAAATAAAGTATTGGTTATTTATATACAACATTTATTTAAATCAGTCACTGAACATTTCTCATTAAACCATGCAAACCTGTGTATATATGTAATATAGTGGGGGTGAAAAGTGATTTATTTTGATATACTATACATCACTTCAGTGACAGGATAAGTAATACTGAGACAGTAAATACATATATTTGCATATTTGGACCAGACCACTACCAAGGCCCAATTAATTGCAAATGAGTTGCTAATAACAGACTAAACTCTGGCAATGTTCTTTTCAAAGTCCCAAAGTGATCTACTGCAGCAGGGATTTGATGAACTGCTGATTAGCTGCAGGTGTGTTTCACCAAGAACATCACAGGTGTGGTGTTGCTGCCACACTGACACTATACTTTGTAGTTGAACACACAGACCCTGATATAGTATAGCACATTTCAACAACAAGGTAATTCAAAGTGCTTCACTTAAAACCATTAAAAGCATCAAAACGTTTATGTCGCTTCTAAAGAAATATATATACGGTGTAATTCTCGGTCCCCCCGCTAGGGGGTGCTGTAGGCCAACAGAGGAGGAAGTACCATGACGCTACTCGTCTTTGTAGCTCTCGTTGACTTACATGAGAGGCTCGAGAGGACGACCGGCTAATGTGACCTCACATGAGACCCGACAACAGCTTAGCACTGAACATAAACTCTCAGTTTGTTGTCAGCCTCTCCGGTTTTAACGTATTCGGCGGTTGTTTCTTAAAGTGTGTCCGTTGGTGTTGTGCTTGTCATGAGTTAGCCAACGAGCTACATGAAGCTAACCTTAGCAAGCTAGCTAAGCTAAGCTACTTCCACACAGTTGTAACACAAATACAATGTAAAAAAAAGGAGTTTCAGATGACTAAATTAGGCAAAATACAGATAAACATAGCTAAATCTTAAGTTCAAGTCTGTTGAATCCCATTCATAAATCAGTGTATTTAAATAATGGTCATGCAGGTTTAATGATAGTAAACGTTGCTTCATCAGGTGAAAACAGCTGACTGTCTTTATTCATGAGCCGATCGACAGAAGTCTCAGTAGTAACTCGTTTCTGTCGTGTTTTGTCGCAGTTGTTGAAGAAGCTGCTGAACTTTGTCACAATGAGGAAACTTTTAACGAGACTCATCAACAGAGTTCTGCTGAGTAAGCTGTTCACACCAGCGATGTGTGGGGAAGCAGAAATACACACAGAAGGACGAAGAAGGCTGGTAAGTACATATAAAATATATATTTATATCATATGAAAAGCTCACATCAGAGAGAGAGACAGAGAGAGATTTGATGCAAACTGAGAAAACACAAAACAGACTAAATATAAGTCGAATCCTCTGTTCCTAACTTATTTGACCTCTGTGTGTTAACTTCACTCTGAGTCCCGTTGAAGCCAGATAGATGAAGCCGTGTGTGTGTAGAGACACAACACAACGTCTGTAGTGTGTCAGCAGCCACAGAGGCCAACACACAGAGGCCTGTAGTGTCTGTGGACCAGTACCATCAGTACGAGGCTGCACATCTGCTTCTGCTTCTATTAGAGGAACATCTGGCATCGTAGCAGCACGAATCCATTTCTCCTTTAGTGTGTTTTTAAAACTTTTATTTTGATATGTCTTGATTATCTCATTAAACTTAATTCAACAGTAGCAGTACTGTATAATATAATAATGTGTGTGCGTGTGTGTGTGTGTGTGTGTGTCACAGGTGGTGGGGCTGGGTAACCCGGGGATGGAGGGTACCAGACACAGCGTCGGCATGGCGGTGCTCGCCGCGCTCGCCGCCCGCCTCGGCGTGGCCGACCGTTGGCGCGGCGACAAGCACGTGTCCGGTGAGGTCATCGTGGTGTCGCCCGTGGTGCTGCTCCGCCCACGGCTGCTCATGAACCTCAACGGGGTGTCGGTGGCCAAGGCCGGTGAGGTCATCGTGTGTGTGTGAGGTCATCGTGTGTGTGTTTATTTAGTTAATTTTTGTATTAATATCCTGAACTCTTAATCTTAATCAAAGCTGATGAAAATTATTTGTTTTAATCAATTTCATCGATGGACAGAAACTCTAAAGTGTGCGTTCGTCCTCCAGCTGGTAAATTCGGCATCAGGCCTGAAGACATCGTGCTGGTCCACGACGAGCTGGACAAACCTCTGGGGAAGGTCGTCATCAAACACGGAGGAAGTGCCCGGTGGGTTTCCTGTTTCCTGTTTCTGTGGTCTCAGGTCGTCGTCCACGCTGCGGTTCAAGCGTCTGGGAAACTTAAATAAATATTATAATGTAGAGTTGCAATGAATAATCGATTAGTCATCAACTATTTTTATTTATTTTTTTATCTTTATTTTTTACTTTTTTCAGTTATTGTCTTGCTTCTTGCAAAGATCATAGTGTATCATTTATCATATTTTATGTTATCATATTTATTAATCAGATAGTTATAGTCTTTCTATAATGCATTAAATCAGTTATGATGCATTATAATGTTGTTATAAGTTACTATAAGTGGTCTTTGTTTGCTTAAAATTCATTTTCTTGCATATATTTATTCCTTAAAGCAAACCACGACCACTTATAGTAACTCATAATCACATTATAATGCATCATAATAGTGATTATATTACATTATATAAAGGTTATAATGTATTACAACAATAGCAATTATAACACACAAACGAAATAAAATGTGTAATTATGTTATTCAGCATTATGAATATTCATGAGTGCTCGTATCTATAATCACAACATGCTGTAAGAATATAAGTATAAGATCACAAATGTAAGAACTAGTGATTATTGTAATATTTGGTGGGAGAGAGTTGAAGGAAATGTCTCCGCTGTGTTTAAAATGTAAAGTGACGTCACCGTTCTGGTTCCTCAGAGGTCACAACGGAGTGCGCTCCTGTGTCGACTGCCTCCAGACGGACGTGAGTGATTCTGATGTTCAGTGTGTGAGAGTCACTTTAAACTCTTCTGTCCGTCGTGGTGTTTGAAGATAGAAGATAAAAACTTTATTGGTCCTCAAGGAACTTTGTGCCAAAGATGCTCAGTACATAAAGCAAAGTTCATGCATGCATACAGTAGTTAAATAAATATATATATATATTCACAGTAGAATACGAGAAACTTTACGTTTGTTTGCTGCTGAAAACACTGAAATAAAAGACAAAAGGACAAAGAAATGATTTAGTCCTTTTTAAATGTAAAAACACTGAACAGCAGAACATGTTTAAGTAAATCCTCGTCTCTGACGCAGGTGATGTCCAGACTTCGGGTCGGGATCGGCCGTCCGGCGGGGAAGACGTCCGTGGAGCGTTACGTCCTGGGCCGGTTCTCCTCGGAGGAGAAGAAGGTTCTGGACTCGGTTCTGGCTCAGAGCGTGGACCTCCTCCTCTCCCAGCTCGCCCTGCAGGACTCCCAGCCCCCCTCCTCACCAGCAGGGGGCGGGCGAGCGGCGGCGCCGAGGGGGAAGGAGACGAAGAGCTCTTCATCTTCATCTCCAGCTGCTGCTGCTGAAGCTCAAGAACATGAACCTCACAGAGACGATCTGAGACTGAGACATTGCTGCAGATCAACACGAAGGATCCTTCAACCGGAGCCCAGGTTTGACCTCAAAGAATCAGCTCCAACCTCCTCTAGCAGCACAGCTGCAACCACATCTGTGTGTTTATTACCTCCTTCTTTTGTCTGATTGTTGGTTGACATTGATGACTCTCAAACATGCAGACTGCTTTCAGAAAACAAATGTTTTGTAACAAGTTTTTCTCTTTTATTTGTAATTTTTGAAATATGATCAGATCGCTCATGAACGGTCCGTTAACTCTGTGGTTGTTTGTCACTGTGTGGATTTTGAAGCTCATACTGATTATGATTATTATTTATTGTGATTGAAATCATAAATGTAAAGGACTGCAGCCTTGCTGTTAATAAAGAAGTAAAAATGTCATTTCCATGTATTTTTTATGGAACCGTTACGTGTCATATGATGTCTTACAGAAAAGTTACTCCTCATTTCTCGTGAGTTTTCTGATGAAAGTCCAGCAACACGAGTCGGTTTCAGCTCGTTACATGAATACAGTCTTTTCAAAATAAACTTCCGTCTTCACAGGGAACTACTTGCGTTTAAAAGAAGGTGAAAGTACAAGCGTACGATTGGTTCCTGTGTTCTTCACTCTTTGGCCGACATGTGCTCTGATACTGATCTGTGATCAGCTGCTTTCAGAGGATTCATCAGCAGCAAACTACAGTCGCAGTGATCTGTATCAGTACACGCACAACTCTTCACCACCAGAGACCAGACATCCGTTGGCCTGATTCTCTACTCGAGGAAACGCGTCTAACAGCAGCTCTCGTGATCGTGGCATCGAGCATTTTAAAATCATTTGAGTGCGTCGTATGAGGGGCGTGAAACAACAGAGAGTGGAGGAACTTTGAGTGAACAGACTCAAGTGAAGAAGCTCGAGAGTCAAACAGGAAGGAAAACAACAAAACGCTCTTTTCTTGAAGCTCAATTTCTCCTCTTTTGTACCGAGAAGTGGCGGCGAGCACACGGCTCCCTCACATCCTTGTCTTTTGGCTAAAAAGTAAAACCAACCATATTGATTCCCCCGCCTCCTTTTCCCAATTGTCACACTAATTACACTCTTCATCAATTAGGCGACTTTAATGAGTTGCATCCAGTCAAGAGGCGCAATGCGTTCTCTCACACAGCAGAGAATGCCGGAGGAGGTGTGTGTGTGTGTGTGTGGGGGGGGGGGAAGAAAAGAGCATATAAAACAGAGGAGAAGAGGCCGCTGAATGAGGGGAATCAATACAAAGGGGGCCGGTAGATTGCGATGGAGGGCTGAGGAAGAAAGGCAGGCGAGAAACAAAAGGGGCCAAACATTGTTGAGACCCGGTTTGTTTGAGGCCTTCTGTCCCGCTGCAGCTCAGAGTCACAATGGCTGCAGGGACACACTTGTGGACATGAGGAGGAGGGGGCACACACACACACACACACACCCCGTTGAGCCTCCATCGGGCCACTTTCCCAGCCCTCCTTCTTGCTGGTCAGCAAGCTTCACCGACGGCTTTCAATAACTTTTCTTCTGCAGGAGGTCAGAGGTCAGCAGTGGGGCTGGACACCTGGACCCTAAAATTTATTCAGGAATGGGACCCCCCCCCCCACCGCCACGCACTATGGCCGGGCGTAGCTGGGCCAACAGTGGCCTGGTGGGGGGTCTTCCCACAGTGGAGCTAACTCTGCAGAAACACAAAACAGGCCCACTGATGACTGAGGAGGATGATGAAGAAGAGCTAATGGAACATGCACACATTCTCACTCTTACAGCTCTGATCGGTATTTTTGAGCCACGATGGCGGCGTTGCTCCAGTGATCTCGATGTCGTGATGTTGGTCAGTTCACCACTTTGGTCTCTGACTGAAATATCTCAACATCGAAGAAACAAAATGTGGTTCAGACATTCATGGTCCCCACTGACAACATCCTACTGGCTTTTGCTCCAATTAAAGCTGCATTCTCTCTAGTGTCCACCAGGGGGCGA